GGACGGTAGGGTAAAAATAAAATTATAATGTAAAAATTTGACGTTCATAAGCGGCTAAAATGTCCTACATGAATAAATGATTTTTGAATTTTGTATTTTGAATTTTGAATTTTGAATTTTAATCTTGAGATTTATATATTGATCTTGGTGTTTTTTATATATATTATGTATGTATTTCCGAAAAAATCAAGTATGACTCTTTGTATCGGCCTGGGTGTTTTATGTCCATATTAAGTATGTATTAATAAAAAAATATCTACGTATTTATATCAGTTGTCTAGTACTTATAATACAGACAAATTAGTCTGAAATGGCGTTGTGTGTACTATCCTGAGATATTATTATTAAACTGTATCTTAAATAAATCCAATTAAATCGGCGAATATTCTGGAAATCTTATGCAAAGGCTTTAGCAGGTTACTGAAATCTGACTTGTTAAATTTATCCCTCATTGAGTGTAATCAAGTCACCTTTAATTCCATTGTTAGCCGGAACAAAGTAAGGCACGCCTCCCGCGATTTTCCGATCCAAAGCCCAGATTCTAAGTCCTCTGCTTGGGCGGAATGAACTAGGCAACACTCCCGTCCCACTTGGTGATTGGCCTAAGTGTAAAGAGTACCGCGTTATTGACTTCACTATAGTATATATATATATATATATATGTAAGTAGTATATGTAAATTATTATTATTTAGTATTAATATGCCTTTTTTATTTCTCTAGTCCATTCTTGCGCCATCTACCACTTTCTGTCTTCTCTCCTCTACCCAAAGGTTGTCTGGAAGAGATTGCTTAAGCGATAAGACCGCCTTTTGTACCTTATTACTTATTACTTGTTTGTTCTTTGTTTAATTGTTTGTCTTTCTGGTGCAATAAAGTGTTAATAAATAAATATATTTTTTTTTTATCGATGTTAATGGAATAGTACATCCGCCTGCGCTAACGGTTTACATTGGCGGGGCATCAGTGGAGGATAATAAAATGAATATGAGGACAGGTCAGTTAATGGCTTCCAGGGGGAATCGCGTGAAGAGTGGAGGATGATAGGATGAATATGACGTCAGGTTTCTAGGGGAAACCGCGTAGAGATCAACCTGACAATAGGCTAATTTCTTCACATTACTAACAATCCACTTTCCGTCGATGTTCAACAGTTTATTGTACACATAAACAGCGCATCATGTCGCCATGTGATGGTTGTAGTAGACCTCATTTGTTGAGTTCCGCGAGGATTGAGGTGGCATGCGTAATCCAAGTAATCAGACAATCTAGTTCGAAGATAAGTAGATCTTGCGTTTCGACTACTAGACAACTGATATAATATATCTACATATATATACTATATACAGAAAACGCCCAGACCCATACAAACAATCATATTCATGAATACAAATATTTATACCGTAAGAGATATCTAACTCGCAACAACCTAGGCGGTGTGCTAAAAAGTTACGCCGTCAAAATTAAAAAGAAACAGAATTTTATACATATTATTTGAAATTTTTCACACACTTTCCTGTACGTTTTTTCTCCGCTCGCGCCTATAACTTAGGCCATACCCTACTCTCGCATATTCGCCCGTCGCACGCCCGGCTTGGCGACAACTTCATTAAAACCATGGCACAAACAAACGAAACACTGGTACCAGCGGGTAAACAGAGCGACTCTTTGTGCGCCAATCAAATTTTTGTCGCCCTACCTACCTTTTAGGTACTGACGCCACCTTTATAACTACTTCCATTAGTTTTCACTTCAATTATATATACATATTATATTGATATACTTATATATCTAAATATATATAACTCAAAGGTAACTGTCATAGTGATCTATCAACGCACAGCCCAAACCACTGCACGGATCGGGCTGAAATTTAGCATACAGGTAGATGTTATGACATAAGCATCCACTAAGAAAGGATTTTGATTAATTCTACCCCTAAAGGGTTAAAATAGGGGATGAAAGTTTGTATGAAACTTTGTCAATTTTAAACCGATCGGGCTGAGACTTTGCATGCATAAAGCTACTATTACGTAGGCATCCCCTAAGAACGATTTTGATAAATTCCACCCCTAAGGGGATAAATTAACGCGAGCGAAGCCGTGGGCTAGTATATATATAAATATATCAATTACTTTGTTGTGGCTTTGAGAATCGAAATACGACCGTATAAATGAAGTCTGTATGCCGTTAGACCATTAGCCACTATATATGTACGTGTATATAATATGTAATTTGTATTTATTTAATAATATTTACAATAACTAATTGTTATGCCTCGACCAGACTCAATCTAATCACTCTTCTCCACCCTAAGGTTGCCTGCAAGAAATCGCTATTTAGCGATAAGGCCGCCTATTGTTACCTCTGTATTGTAATTATGTTGTTTTTTTTATATTTGGTGTACACATTAATTTATATAATTGTTATTTTCTTACTGTGAGAGGAATAATAAAGAGTTCTTCATTCATTCATTCACTAGAACATCAAAGTCCAAAACAATTTATTTGGACTTTGATGTTCTAGTGAATGAATGAATGAAAAACTCTTTATTATTAAGTGTCTTAGTAGTAATCTACTAAAACACTTTTCATGTGATTATTAATGAATAATTTTTTTTTTTAATTAAACAGATAATTCAGGCGTTACAGAATTCGGCCGTTATACCTAAAAATCAATGACTGTCAAAGTTAAACAAAAAGGTTCTAACTCCGCATACAAATGGTCCCGGCGACCTCTAATAAAACAACTAATACTGGAAGGTCCCAACTACAATATATCGTACCCTACGGTATGTTCAAAATCAGTTTTGGGGCACACTACAAAATGATAAAGCGATCCAAGTGCTATAATGACACAAAGTTAGGAATACTCGAATAAACGAGATGAATATATACATATCGGTACGTGTTAGACTGAAACGGAGATAGGTGTGAATTTTAGAAGATATTTTCTGTTTAGAGTGGAATTTTAGATGTATACGATATGGCCTTTGCTTTTGTTTTTTTTTTATGCCATTATTACAGAGCGTTGCATCCTATATGTTGAGTATGGCAATTAAGACCGAAAAGAGTCGTACTAAATTCGATTTTGCTGATTTATATTGGATTTAAATGAACTAAGTAACATTTGGACATGTCACATATTCGGGGGGGAAGGGCAGTCCCCTTCCCCCCCGAATATGTGACATTAGTAATGGGAACTATTGACCATTGCTAATAATGTACCAAGTTAGTGTTACCAATCGTGTGACGCACCATTAATTAAAAATGGTAAAGTCAATAATCATGTAACCTGAAACGAAACGTCAGAGGCCAGAGCCAAAGTAATCTGTGTGACATTGACAAGTGGATGACGGATGATTGAACGGAGGCAGCGGGAGTTTTGGAGGGAAAGTGTTTATATTATTATAAAAACAAATAAGAGATAGGTAATTGTGAATTTTGTAGGCATTGAGGTGTGACTAACCAGCATTACGCCTAAGTCGTCAGGATACTAGTGATTTTAGAATTAGGTTGACCCAGTTCACTCTGGGAATCATCGCGATAAATTCCTTATTTGCAACGATGGGTTAACTGATCTCTCTTCATGTTCACCTATCATCTTCTGTTGGAGCTGGTGGAAGTGGAGCCTCGCCAGCGTAAACCATTAGCACTGGCAGGACCACTATTACAATATCGTCATTTAAAAAAAATCGAATTTGAAGGGGATTGGGTAATTTTTAAATTTACATTTGGGCGAATAAACTGACCACCAGCATTTGCTATTGCAATTTTATCAATAAGAAATATTTACTAAGATCAGTCACCACAAGCAGCATCCGTTCACAACGCGAAATTCGACAGTACCTCTGGCTACCCCATCGAACATTATAGTCGTGAAGGTACATATATTTTTTGCTTAGATTTATTTTGTCCTTGTAAAGTGACCTTATCGTTCGATAATAAATTGTGCGACCGCTGGAGACTTGCTCGATGGGTACTACGTAATTCTCTTATCTGTGATAGGTACAGACTAATATTCCACGGAGTTTCTGAAGTCTGAGCTATTTAAATTAAATTTAGTAGATGGGTATAAATTATGCAAATTTATTTCATTATCGGATACTGAAAAGGGCGAGCACAATAGATCTATGTAGGTCGCAGTGCTACAGGTGCTACACATCTGACAATAGCCCAAACAACCCAATAAAAAAAATAAAAAAATCGGATACTAACGAATGTCCTATAAAATTTTGTTAGAGCTCAAACGTTCGCAAAATTCCATTTAACAAATTTAGTATGAAATGATCACGTTGGTTTATGCGTAGGAAATGTTTGTTAAGATTCGCTACCCGCGGAAAAAGCAACATACTATATTATACATATTACCAAAAAATAGAGGTATATTATGTACATTGAGAAAAAAAATAGAGTATACCTTAAAACGTCCTTTACAATAAAAGAATGTTTGCATTCTGTTACAAATCCGGCACCGAAGGACCATCTTCTCTAGAACGCGTCATCATCGTCATCTACTCCCCCTCCCCTAATGAATAATTACCAAAATCAATGACTAAACTGAGCAAGAACCGAAATGTTACAAGTACAATACTTTGGATGGCAAAATCAGATTTTCGTATATTAACATTGGCACCTTTTTATAGTATAGGAGACAAACAAGTTTACGGATCACCGCCAAGTGAATACCGCCATGCATTAGTATCCGCAATACCAGAGGATATGTAAGTCCGTTGCCGGACTTTTATAAAGGAATAAGCTCTTTTCTTGAAGGTTTTAATATCGTAAAAGTTCGGAAATACCATGGCTGGAAGGTGATTTCACAATATAGTTATCCGTGGCAAAAATAACCTGGAAAATCGCTTCAGTAATGTACATTTATTCTGCTAGCATATACTGATTGAACATGATCGTTCTACGCGTATTCAAATACAGTATCAAATCCGATGAGTATCTGTTTATATGCGGTGTTTATATCTACTTAAAATCAATGGGTACTTACGTGTTAAGCTCTAGATCCAGTCTGAACTTGTGGTTGAAAGCTTTGATGAGAAGGGATGTTCTGTGGAAGTGTTTGCCAGCCTGCAACAAGGGAAACAAAGTGATTTTAATTATTTATATCTAATTTTATATCAGGTGATAAATATATATTTTATATAGCTATAACTGTGCCCGCAGTTATAGCTATATAAAATATATATATATCGCATTCACATGAAATTTCATAGTCCACTACCATTTGCCCGTGGCTTCGCTCGCGGTAATTTATCCCCTTAGGGGTGGAATTTATCAAAATCCTTTCTCAGGGGATGCCTACGTCATAGTAGATTTATGCATGCAAAGTCTCAGCCCGATCGGTTTAAAATTGACAAAGTTTCATATGAACTTTCATCCCCTATTTTATCCCCTTGGGGGTAGAATTAATCAAAATCCTTTCTTAGCGGATGCCTATGTCATAACATCTACCTGCATGCCAAATTTCAGCCCGATCCGTCCAGTGGTTTGGGCTGTGCGTTGATAGATCACTATGTCAGTCACCTTTGAGTTATATATATTTAGATTTGTTATGTAAAGTATCATCAAAATCCGTTAAGAGTAATAAACATCTATTCATCCTTTCATCATTTTCGCGTTTGTAATATTAAAGTTTATAATATAAAATATTATTTATAATATATTTTATTATTAAATATTATATTATTAATAACATAAAAGTTTACTTAAGAACTAATGTATAATTATTATCAACATGTGCACGCTCGTACGTTACATTCGCGGGCTAGTCGTATATTGCCTTATTTTGTCCGAGTCAGTCTAAATTACCAATGACAATAATATTTAAGAGCTCTCAAGATGTTTTTTACAAACACAAAGACAGTCATCTTTATCGGGGCTGCTTTGAAGCCGAAGAAACGGCTGCTCACGTAATCCTGGAGTGTGGAGCTGTGGCCACACAACGAAAACAAATTCTCGGAACGGGGAAGCTCGCCGTGAAATCTGTGAAGATACCAGGAGGCTACTGCGTTTCTGGTATGACCTTGGATGGCTCTCTGTCTCTAGTTGTCGAATTTAAACGAGACGCTAAATGCAGTAAGAGTCTAAATGCTACGTTTACATTCAGCCACTTCCCCTGCCACTCGCGCTGCCGGAAATATTGCCGGGCGACAACTGAGCGAGAGGGCTGAATGTGAAAACACGCTGCCACTCGCGCTGCCAGTCCTTTGACTCGCGCCCGAAAAACCAACAATCGAGGGAGCGCCGGGCAGCGCGAGTGGCTGCGCCAATGGCATGGGAAGTGTTTCCACTCGTGTTTACACTCTTCGTACTTCCGTGCTCACTTCCCTGCCCACTCGGGCTGAGTGTAAATTGGGCATAACATTCGATAAGATACGATACGACGTTTGTAATAGCGTCAAAATATCGGGAACTCTTAAATATTATAATCATGGTAAATATGTCATTTATAATATAATATCTTGACGACCTCGATGGTCTAGCGGTTAAGCACATCCCATTACTTCCGGTCGCGGGTTCGATTCCTCGCACGGCACAAGCATTTGTATTCGTGATGATATGATTATTTGTACCGGTCTGGGTGTTTTCTATGTATAATATGCATTTACGAAAAAAATATATTTATGTATGTGTATCAGTTATCTAGCACCCAAAGCTTTAGATAACCTAACTTGGGACTAGATGGCGCTGTGTGAATTGTCCTGAGATAATTATTATTATTAAAAAAGTAAAAAGAAATGAAGTTTCATAATAATTATTGGCATTAATTTGCAACATCGCAATGGGTGTTGATATCAATAACTATTTGCCATTTATAATCGCATTACAAACACATTAGCCGTGTATATCATTGGATGCACTCCGATTGGGAATTGAAGTGCGTTAAAATGCAATACTCCAAATAGGATCGTGTATTAAATCTAAAATCGATGAACGTACAAATGCTTCCCCATATATAATATTGGAAAGTTATTAGGACTTACTACGTGCTAGTATGTTAATATATTACATTCAAGTTCAAAAATCATATATTATTATTTGTGCGTAGTAGTTTGTATATTGATTGTTGCATGCCTAATCCTTGTTAATGTAAATATAATTAAAACAATATTTATTTAAAAGAGCAACACTCAAGTTTCTTGCTCATTCTTCTTGTGATGAGTCTTACGATTCTTCTAAAACTTGACTTAAATAGTCAAGTTTTAGTGCTTATATTAAGTTTATTTGAATAATGACTATTTATATTTCTATTTCTATTTATTTATGTAGGACATTTTAGCCGCTTATGAACGTAATTTTTTTTCCCTACCGTCCAGTTAAGTATACTTTAGTCAATCAAATTGCGAAGAACTGGCAAGAAACTCAATTGAATTACTTATTTTTTCTTTTTAAATGCCAGTTTATATAAATATACATTCTAAAATGTATATTTATATAGGTATCCATGTCCACTATTGCCATGCACGATCGTCATTTAAGTAATTGTTTAGTGAGTAATAGGCTTCGCTTATTAAATATGATGTAACAGATGTTTTGAATTTATTTAAGGGTAATTCCAGTATATCCTTTGGTATTTTATTATAAATTATTATACCTATTCCCATAAAAGACCTATTGACTTTTCTAAACGATACTTGGGTACAGCAAGTTTGTGTTTAAATCTAGTACTAATATTATGAATATTAAATATTGATCAAGTCAAGCGTTGAACCTTTGGTATTTATTGGAAGTATTTATATATTTATTTATACAATTTATTGCACCAATTATATAACAAAAAACAATTGAAATAGAAAATATATATAAACTGATACAAAAGGCGGTCTTATCGCAATCCCTTCCAGACTACCTTTGGGTGGATAGAGAAATCAAGATAAGAAAAAATAAGAAGTCTATAAATTAGTAGACAAATATCCTGATTTATATAAAAATAGAATAGATATTAAACATAATTAGTCTGTACGATTGCAAAACAGAATGCTTCCAGACTCTAAACTTAACACTCATCTATTCCTCTGGCAATATCGATATAAATATGTAATAAACTACCGGAATATTTGAAAAATATGAAAAAAAAACTACTGTGGTATGTCGTTAGGGCGACTAATTTATTAAATAAAAAAAAAGTCTAGTTCATGTACTAATATTATAAATGCACCAGTGACGGTCTCAGTGGTCTAGTAGTTTAGCACACCGCTTTACTTCCGATGGTCGCGGGTTCGATTCCTCGCACGATGCAAATATTTGTATTCATGAGTACTTATGATTGTTTGTATCGGTCTGGGTGTTTTCTATGTATATTATGTGTGTACTTAAAAATATATATCTAAGCATTTATATCAGTTGTCTAGTACTCATATCATAAGCTCTATCTATCATGGGACAAGATGGCGCTGTGTTAATTGTCCAGAAAAATATCTAAGTATTTATATCAGTTATCTAGTACCCATAACACAAGCTCTACTTACCGAGGGACTAGATGGCGCTATGTTAATTGTCCATGGTTATTTATTTTATTTTTTAACAGTGCATCTTTTTGTTATGTATCTCAAAAAAGCAGCTAAAACCACCGTTAAGATATATTTTTTATTTATTTATAATTCTTTATTGCACCGATATTAAAAGTAGATACATAAAAAGAAAATAATATATAACAATACATTAAAGAAAGAAGAAGGTACAGAAGGCGGTCTTGTCGCTAACGCAATCTCTTCCAGACAACCTTATGAAAGGGAGTATAAATAAAAATAAAGTAGGCGGCACGTTAGTGGAAATAAGGTATATATAATATTTTTAGTTAATAAAAATCTTTACCGTCCGCCATCTCGCATGTCCCCATTCCGGTAACAATGTTAGCTGCGAATCGCGTTTTCGTTATAAAATCCAAAATACCTAACTGATATGCAGGAAACACTATCAGGGGGACTGGGGGGAGGTGGATATCAGATTATTGAGGCCATCGCTGAAATTGAATAACTCGTCGCTTCAGGCGTTCGAGCGTACCTACCCTACAGAAATAGTCAAGGTTAGGGACAGATGATCGAGTTACCGTCAGTTTTGGTTATCGATTCTTTGAACCGTTGAATGTATTTTGTACAGGTTGACGGTCAATTCACTATATCAATTTATTTATTTAAAATAGTGGTTGCCTAGTGTTCGAAATCCATTTTAATTAATTTTAATAAATTTCAAGAAGGGTATATTAAGGTTTCTTAAGGGTCGGCAACGCGCAAGTGATACCCCTGGTGTTTCAGGCGTTCATAGGCTACGGTAACCATTTACCATCAGATGGGCCGTATGCTTGATTACCACCATCGTAGTATAAAAAAAAAATTAAGTTTGAACATTAATAAGGTATTATTGTCACAGACTATAAAACTTCTATAAAAGCCTCACTGTTGGGTTGACTGGTAGAGATCTCTTTTAGACATAACCACCACCACACCACCACTTTTGCTCACCCTGTATATATATAAGTTTATTGCTGTATTTAAAAGTGCAATAAATAATATATTTTAAAAATAGGCATTGGCTGTCGCATATGCAATAAATAATTAATATGTAACTATTGACTATATTCAATATTTTTTCTATTTGAGTATTTAATTGAATTAGTGCTAATTGGTGGTTTGTATTCACACACTTAAACTTAAAAATGTAAAGTAATAATAAAATTATTTAAAAGAGCAACACGCAAATTTCTTGCTCGTTCTTCTTGTGATGAGATAGCTTTCCGAACGAGCGGTAGATTAAAAAAAATGTAATGACTATTCAAAAGTGCTTCAATGTAAGTTTATTTGAATAAATGATTTTCTATTCTATTAAAAAGTAAGTATTGTTGGTAGAATGGTGAAATTTTTGGATTGTATGTATTTGTAATGCCACATTATAAAATATGTTACTGTAAAGTTTCATCAAAATCCGTTCAGTAGTTTTTGCGTGAAAGAGTAACAAACATCCATCGATACTCACGAACTTTCACGTTTACAATATTAATAAACTGATTTGACGACCTCGGTGGTCTAGCGGTCTAGCACACCGCTTTACGTCCGATGATCGCGGGTTCA